GGCAGAGCCAGCATTCAGGCTCGACTCCCAGGCCTGTGTTGTAAGGAGGACGGCCCCCTTCACACACACCCTTTTCTCCCCCTTGTCCTCACCCATCCAGCCTCACGGGGTGTTGGCTGCCCCTACCCCCACTGCCCCCCACACCCCAGGTGACCACACATCATAGGGACCTGTTTTCTGACTCACGTTCTTGGAAGCGAGGAATGCCATGCCCTGGGCCACCTGGCTGGAAAAGTGGAGCAGGTCGCGCAGCTCCAGCAGCCGCCCGTCCTCCTTGTCCAGGTCTGGTGTGGGGAGAGGTGTCAGGGCGGCCCCCCCACCTCAACCCAAGCAGCCCCGCTCGTCTCCCTCAGCCCTGGTACCTCCTCCGCACCTTGGTCAGAGAATGAATCATTTGATGAAGTGGAGACGGGCCTCATCTCCACATAGGTGTCCACACCCTGGCTGGAGAAGCCGCTGTCCCTGCATAGGAGAGGGGGCCGCGGGCTGGTCAGTGCCTGTCACTGCACTGCCCAGCTCAGGCCTCTCCCAGCCACTCAGCAGAGAAAGGAAAGGACCTCAGGGTCAACTTGAGCCTCCCTTTCTGACACCTCCTTTGATCAGTGACCTCTGCTTGGCCATCCAGTGAGGGAGCTTACAACCTGTTCTCTCTTCGGGCAGCTCTGCCTGTTAGAAAGTTCTCCACTGTTCCTAATGCTAATCTGCCCCCGGGCTATTCCTCCTCCTGGTCCTCGCTCTGCCCTCCAGAAGCATCTCCCTCTTCTCTGGAACAGCCCAGCAGGGCTTCGAGCATATTCCAGGGCCTCTTCTTTGAGCCCTCTTGTCTACATCATGGCTCTCCCTTCTGGCTGCACATTAAAATCACCCAGGGAGTTCCAGATACTCAGACCATCAAACCAAAGACTTCAGAAACTCTAGGGGAAAAACCCAGTCATTCCCACTTACACATTAATCCAGGCAACTCCCGTGTGTAGCCAGAGTTGAGGACTGGTCTAGAGCAGTGTTTCTTAAACTTATCCGTGTGCATACGAACCACCTGGGGAATCTTATTTAAATGCAGATTCTGACTCAGCAGGTTTGGGTAGGCCTGAGATTGTACATTCGTAACAGCTCTCAGAAGCCTGTGAGCCTGTGCTTCGGGTGGCTGTTCAGGTTGAGAAGCACGGCTCCACATTGAATAACCACCACTGCTTCTAATACTCCAACCAGATAGGAGTCTGGACCTCTCACCTCCTGCTCCCTCTGTGATACAGCTGTGCACCTTGACGATGTCCTTACTCTCGTGTTCCCAGAAAAACAACCTAGTGCTTTATTTATGGTTTGACCATTAAACTGTCCACTCCCTTGGTCTAGAAAGTGTACTTCTATTATTGTAGCCTGGGATCCCATTAGTAGGACTGGTTCACTTGCCGTTTGCCCTTGAAATCACCCGACTCGGAATCCTTTCCCCATCTGTAGATTTGAAGATGGAAGCCAATACTTGACTTCAGTTCTCATTTTGAGTTGCTCTGGCCTGAGTTTCCAGCCTGCTGAGGCCCAGTGTGAGCCACCCTCTCAAAAGGGTGTCAGAAAATCAGAGAAAATCCCGCCAGCCCCCATACTCGAGGTCGCTGGATGGAGTGAAATGGCCTCCTTCCCCTTTTGCCTCCCCTGGCTTGGTAGCTGACATTGGTAGGATAGGAGACCAGTGTATACCCTTGTTGTTCTGACCCAGCAGCCAGGCCCTGGCGCCTCACAAACCCCGAGTCCAAGACTCCCAGGAGATCAGTGTAGCTCAGGTGAGCACTGGACGAGGAGTCAACAGAGCAGAATCCAGCCAGGCTCCGCCTCTGCCCTTGACTCATGTGTGACACAAAGGCCACTTCCTTTCTCTGGTTCCCCAGTGTGGCTCTGTCCATCTGCCTCTGGGTGGCTTCCAGGAATCAGCATTACAGAACGAGAGAGCAGAGAGACCCTGAGGGGTTCAACCCCCTGATGGCTTGCTGGGGAAACTGAGGCCCAAGTGGACCAGGGACCTGGCCACAGCTATGCTGTTTCGCCCCTGCTCATTCAACGCCCGAAAAACTCGACCCCACTTCTGCATGGCTACTCGAAAGTGGAATGGGTGCCCTCTAGCCCCCGACAGCACATGCTATGGGAGAAACAGGGCCATTATCCCCAAGATTTGCCCATCGCTAGCGAGGGCCCCAAATGGATCTTGCTTGATCTTTTACGTATGATAAAATAATGATTTCATTAATGCCTATCTCCACCAGACTGTGAGCGGCCCATCTTTGCCCTCAATACTCCCAGAACATAGTAGGGGCTCAAATATTTGTTGGATGATGGGATTAAGTAGGAGGAAAACTTGAGTTGCCCATATAATATGGGTTGCTACTCCCCACAGCACAAACGGGAAGGTGAGGGCCACGTAAGCCACCCAACCCTGAGCTGACTTCGGGGACAGACATGGGGGCCCCACCTCCCAGTCCTGGCCTCCTTCCTGTCTTTCACCAGGATACTACCTGCGGATGTATTTCTTTTCCAGGTGGATGTTCTTGTAGCCGGTGCCTGCCTTGGGGTCCTGGCCTGGATTCAGGCTGGGTCCCAGCATGGCCTCAGCCTTCCTTCGCAGAAAGTTGAGTAGGTCGCCATAGCAGCAGTACTCAGTGATGACCAGGACAGGGCCTAGAGCAGCCAAGAGTAGGGTCAGTGCAGCCCTAACACACCACCCCATGTGGACAGGAACATGGGGGGGTGGGCAATAAGAACCTGGACTGGAACTCAGGAGCCCCGGGCTCTAATCCTGCCTGTCTATAAGCAGCCCTCTCTGCTTTCTGGGTGACCTCAGTGACCCAACTGTCTAAAGCAGAGGAACCTCCAAAAAACTGTAGCTGAATAATTCTTTCTTCGAAGGAAATCTATGACAGTTCCACACAAGTCAAAGCTGCTATAGGAAAAGAGATTGGAGCGGACTGAGAGTCCCAACAGGCCCTGGGGCACTTCTGTGGGCCCTGTGGTGAGTGTCCAAGCCTCTTTGAGTGGGGGCTTCGTAAAAGGTAGATTTGAAGGGCTTCACTCCAGACCCATAGCGTCAGACTCCCTGGAGCAGGGCCCAGGCATCTGCACTCTTTTCTCCTTTTCCAGGTGACTCTGATGCCCACCCATGTCTGAGAGCCACTGATCAGATCTCACAGAACTGCCTGTCATCCATAAGCAGCTTCCGACCAGTCCAGGCACCTGGCCTAGGAATTCAAGGGCTGCTGAGACAGGGGTCCCACCTTCACTTTGTGGAGACGGGAAGAGGAAGATGGAGTGAGGTAGCCCTGGGACCCTCAGACACCCAAGAGGCCCCACCACAGTGGGCCCCCATGCCTGCCAGGGCCCCTTACCTCCATGGGTACAGGCTCCCAGAAGGTTGACTATGTTCTCGTGCTGGCCCAGGTGGCTCATGATCTTCAGTTCCGACATGAGGGCCTCCTTCTCGTCAGTGTGAGCCGTGGCTGGGAGATGGGGCCACAGGTCCCACAGACAGAGAAAGGGCAGGACATGGAGAGCCATGCACACAGACGCCCAGGGGAGCAAAGCAGAGGGGACCCAGAGCCCCAAAGCAATCAGAAGCCGAAAGAGGCAGGAGAAATGAGGACACACGATGGGAGTTACGGGGAGAAAGAGAGGAGAGATGGCCTGTTACTGAGCTAATTTTGGGTGGCAGGAGACCAACCTGTGGCCAGGCCATAGGCCAGGATGGCCTCTGTGCACCTGAGCCCCTTCGAGGCTCAGGCAGAAGCCCTTCCACACTCAGGAGTTAGAGGGAGCCGGGAGCTCACAAAGGAAGCCAAGAGTCCTCACCCCCGATCCCAGGCTCTGTTCCACAGGCCCTGACAGGCCGAAAATGTGGGTGATGCCCTTGTGACAATAGAACAGACACTCCCTTGGCATATACCACCTCCTACCCGCTACCCCAAACCTGCTTCCTGCACTCACACTTCAGCATCTTCACAGCCACCTTCAGAACAGCGTCTTCCTTGCCCAGACCGAAGGCCGTGGCCTCTACCACCTTCCCAAAGGCACCTGCTCCAAGGGTTTTACCTGCCACACACAAGGCCTGCTTAGGTCCCGGGGCACCTAGGGGCCCACAGGCTCCCTGCCACCCACGCTGGCCCTGTGACAGGAGGGCATGTTGGGTGCTGAGACCCTGGCTCACCAAACTGCAGGTTGTTCCGGGGGAACTCCCACTTCTCGTTGTAGGGCAGCTGGGTTGGGTCGATGAAGGTGTAGCTGTTGCCCCCATAGCTCTCAATGATCTTCCAGCGCACCTGGTACTTGGGCTTCTGCAGAGGGAGAGGGAGGAGGCATGGGTCAGCTGGGCCTGGCAGGTGGATCTTGGACATCATCCAAGGAGGACAGGGGCTGGGCAGTCCCACCGCACAGCGGGAGGAGGTCGGTGTGGCCTGCGACGTGGTGAGAGGGGCTGTGTCATCTCATGCCCATGGCACCGAGAGCCCCGTCCCTGCCTGGCTTGGCCCTACCATGGGACCATCCATTCTCCAAGCCTCAGTTTCCCTACCTGTGTTTTGAAAGATTTGGACAGGACCCCCTCTGAGGGTTTTGACAGCTCTGATAATGTGGTGATTCCTGAGCCAGGAGGGAGGGTGGAACTGTAGATCCATCCATCCATCCATCCATCCATCCATCCATCCTCGCATCCAATTATTACTTGTTTGTTTTATTTTCACTTGTGGTAAGAACAAAATTTACCATCCCAACCAGTTTTGAGTACACTGTTCAGTAGTGTTATATACAGTCACACTGTTGTGCAACCAACCTCCAGAACGCTTTTCATCTTGAAAAGCTCCAAGTCTGTACTCACTAAACAACAACTCCCTGTTCCCCCCTCCCCCGAGCCCCCAGCCACTTATCTCATGCATCTGACTGTTCCGGGTACCTTATTTAACTGGAATCATGCAGGATCTGTCCCTTTGTGACTGGCTAATCTCACTTAGCATGATGTCTTCAAGGTTCATCCATGTTGTTGCCTGTGTCAGCATTTCGTTCCTTTTTAAGGCTGCATATTATTCCCATCCAAATATTTCACCGAGTACCTATTTGTTTCAGGCATCGTTGATTCAGTTTGACAAAACAAGAGTCCCTGTCCCCTGGAGTTTGCATTCTAGTTGCTAAGACGGACAATCAACTCAGATACATATGTAGGAAAATTTCGAATAGTGCTATGGAGATAAGAAAGCAAAGTAATAGGACAGAGAGCGCCGGGGACAACTGAACACAAGTCAGGGAGGGCCCCTGAGGAGGTGAGAGGGAGCTGGCCACGTGAGCAGCAGGGGAAGCGCTTCGCGGGTGCAGGGAGTGGAGGCCTGGGGGTGGGAAAGGTCTTGGCGAGTCTAAGGGACTGGAAGGTGCCATGTGGCTGGAGGGGAGCGGGGGGCACGAGTCTGGAGGCAGGAAAGTCTTGAGGGCTGCAATCAGCAAGTGAGTTCTCTAAGCGCAAGGTGAACCCTTTGAGGCTCGATGCAGGCGAGTGATGCATCCGACTCTACGTTGGTAAAGGACCAACAGACAGAGACCCCACGTACAAGACAGCGGGTGTCTGGAGGACCCGCATTCCCCTCAGGCTCTCCATGCTGTTCCAACCAGCCAGCTGGCGGCAGAGCCTAAGCTGAGGAGGAGTGGCTGCCTCCCTCTTTCCTGCCCCGGGTGGCAGCTGCATGGGGGCATCATGCCAGGGGTACCCATGAGAAGTGCTGATGGCAGACAGAGTTTAGGTGGAAAGTGGAAGCTGGGCTGGGGCGGTGGAGGACACTGAGGCCTCGGGTCAGCAGTCCAGCTCTCTTTCCGGTCAGTCGTGGGTGACAGGGACCAGCTGGGCTGTGCTTAGCAGCTGGGCTCCTACATGGGGCACCCAGCTCGGGCAGGGGGAGCTAAAGTGGGTGCTGGGGAGGAGGGTGACAAGTCTCACCAGGTTAAGGGAAAAGACTCCAGATAGCCACAGGGAAGGACTTCCAGTTGGTAGTTCGGGGGGAAAGACTGCAGTTAGACATAAGGAAGGACTTCCCGATGGTAGTTCGGGGGGAAAGACTGCAGTTACACATAAGGAAGGACTTCCAGATGGTAGTTCGGGGGGAAAGACTGCAGTTAGACATAAGGAAGAACTTCCAGGTTCTGATTCAGGACGAGAGACTAGCGGTGAACCTAAGAACATCCATGTTACAGTTTCAGCAGATAGTCTGAAATGGGACAGGAAGAGGACTTCCTGAGTGTCAGAGGATTCAAACCCTGTGTGTGGGTGCCTTCCCAACACAAAGGATGGACACAGAACCGGGAGGGATTCCTTGACCGCGCCTGGCCACTTGCATCTCCAGGAGCCACTGTGGTGACGGCTGTTTTTTCCCCCCCCCGCCACTTCTCCTTCCTCTGGCCCTGCAGCTGGGCCTGAGTCAGCCCCTCCCCAGCCCACCGCGAGCTGGAAAGAGAGGGCAGGGCTATCTGGCTGGAGCTTCAGCTCTCTCTCTGAATCTCAGACCTGATACCTGGAGGACGACGCAGCTCTCCCACGCCTGCCTCAGGCATCCCCACCCCTCTTCCTGGAAAGCAGACACTAGCTCTGCTCAGCCTCTGCTATCCCTAGACAGGGCTCCTGTGTAACTCCCGGGGGCTTCTACCCAGAGGGGCCTCTCCCCTGAAGGAGAACCCTAATGGGGAGGCCAGGATGGGCAGCCTCGGAATATAATGCTATCAGTGAGGGCCTCCTGAGCACTTCCTGTGAGTGGGCGCTGGGCTCCACACTCAACGTGCGTCATCTCACTTAATCCTCACAACAGGCCCAGGCCACTTCCCCTTGGTGACCGAGGTAGGCATGGAATCATCAAAGTCCCCACAACTCCCCATCCAGGCCTGCTGTTTTGGGTGGGCGGATGTTTTCTGTCTCAGGAAGGGGGAAATCTGAACAGTTTCCACTGGAAATCTTGGGGACCCTCCTGTGCTTCCCCCATATACCTCCCCATCCCCAGAGCTCAGTTCCGACCCCCAGAATTCCAGCCTCTCCAGTGGCTTCCCCGTCTCCTTCGGTCCTCCCCATCACCAGCATCCTTTCTTCCCCATGTTCTTCCTCCTTCCAGCCTGCTGACTCCTGCCCTTTTCTCTTCCCCCTTGGCCCCCCTTGTGGTCTCTCTGGGGGCCAGAAAGGCGATGACTCAGCCCTGAGACAGAAGCAACCCTTCCCCCAAGCGGGGCCACCCCTCCCCTCAGGCCTGAGTAGTGAGGACAAGACAGGCTGAGTCCCCAGTGAAGGGGCGAGACTCAGAACCCCGTGGAGCAAAGCAGAGGACACTTGGACAACAAGTCCTGAGGCAGGCCATGGCCATCTTGACCCCTGGGATGCCCTCCTTCTCTTGGCCTTGGGTCAGCTCACGGGCCAGTTCAGTTTCTTAAATGGGATAAGAGGTGACTGGAGTACATGTTCCAAAAATGGTCCCGTGAAGAGAGCGTAAGGTGTCCCCAGACCACGCTGGCCAAGGGGGCTGGGCGGCCCAAGGCAGAAAGGGCTGGAGGGGAACTGGGCCCTTCTCTAGAATCTCTTCAGGCCTGAGGAGGCAGCTCTGTGGGGACAGAGAGGCTGTTTTCAGCTCCATATAAGGAAGAACTTTGCAACAGAGCTGCGCAGAGAAGGAACGGGAGGCCGCCAACAGTGAGTGAAGTCCTGTCCCCGGAGGTGGGTGGAGTTGGATGGACCTGGGTCTGAATCCCGCCTTGCCAGGCTCTAGGACTCTAGGAAAATTGGTGTCTCTAAGCCTCTGTCTCTCCATCTCTGAAATGGTGTTGATAATGGCAGCCCCCACACCAGGCTGCGCTGAAGGTTCACCGAGGTGACGGAACGTAGGGGACTTAGCAGGGTGGTGGACACGGACAGTGCTCCGAATGGATGCTGCACACCCTGGACCCAGGAGGAAGTTGGCTGGGGAACTCAAGATAGCTCATGCATCTTGGGATTGGAGGGCTGTTTGAGGTTGGGCCCATCCAAGATTCAGACCCAGATCCATGCAACTCCCAACCCTTGGCTCTTAAACTAGACCATCAGCCTCTTGGCATGTCACAGGAGGAGGCTGTAAAGGTCACCCACCCCACCATGAACAGGTGGGTAAAATGAGGCCGAGAGCGGGCAGTCCACCCGCCAAGGTTGCATGAAGCCCAAAGAGGGCAGTCACCCAGCCAAGGTCTCATAGCAAACCAGTGTCCTAGCAGGACCCGGATCCCTGAAGACTTGACCTGGGGCCCCGGATTCTGCGCTCAGAGCTGCCTTCTCATGCTGTGTGCTGACATAAGCACTGGGCACCCCGTGGGCCCCTGGGGCACCCCCCGCATACCACCTACCTGTCTACTCCAAGTCCTCTACTCACACTAAAACCCACAAGGCAGGTGTGGAGAAGAGAAGGCAGCAGAGGAGCCCACAAGGTGGGTTATTCACCCCTAACTCACCTCACTCCCTTGTTCACACCTGCCGAACCTACAGGATGGGGTCCAGCCCCTCAGACCCCCAAACTGTCCCCACCTGCATCCTCTTCCAGGCATCAGTATTTCCGGAACTCACCTGCCTCTTTGTACACAGCGCCCTCTCCCCCAGAGACATCCTTTCCCTGAATCTCATCTCCCCCTGGCTGCCTGCCCCGTTCTCCAAAGCCTGTCCCACCCACGCCAAGCCACCTCGTCCAAGCAGACTCCCTTCCCTGCCAGCCAGAAAAGATCCCTCCACTTCTGGCCTCCCACAGCCTTCTGGCCTGGCCCTCTCAGTGCCTGACTGCACCAGAAGTAGTCTTTTATGTAGGGAGGCAGGGAGGCTAAGTGGTGGAGGCCACAGGGTGCCTCCCCTGTGGGAGGGTGCAAGGCAACTGGGACTCTTGGGCGGGTCCTTCAACCTTGCTGAGCCTGCTTCCTTACTGTAAAATGCTGACTGCTCTAGTCCCTGCCTCTAGATTGTTTTGAGGGTAAAATAAGATGATTCCATGGGTTTACAAAATGGTTTTTAAAAAAACAGCCTCTGCCATTGACCGGCTGTAGACTAGGGCAACTGTCTCAACCTCTCAGAACCTCAGCTTCCAACTCCGTAAAATGGGGTAGTGATACTACCCACATGCCATGGTTGTTGAGGTCAGTAAATGAGGGGATGTAGGTAACATGCTTCATAACAATGCCCCTAAAATCGCCATCACTGACTGAGCACTCAGAGTGACAGGCAGTGCACTAAACGTCAACGTGCAATTAACGGCAGACTTGATTAATGATCATGTTAAATAATGACGAGGACGATGATGGTCAGGCCTTCCCCTCCACTAACTTACCTGCCACCTGACAGAGACACAGGCCTGGCCCCATGATACCCTCTCTATGTCCCTGGAAGCCTCCAGCTGGAACAAGTTCCCATGTTCATGCTCTCCCCAAGGGCCACGGCTCTCCCCGTAGCATCTCTCCCTCTGTGATCCACGCCCTCACTTCCGTGGCTATTCGATTAGCAACCATCTACCTCACTAGACAAGAGACTTCTACGAGAGCAAAACCTCAGAGGCTCTGAGTCTTGGCTCACCCAGCCACTGACACTGGCATACAGCAGGCGCCCAATAAAGAGCTGTTGGTTCAATGACTGGCTGACAGATGAATTCGTATTCACAGGGGCTGAAGGGCGGATCCACACAGCCTGGGGGCACTGCCCCACGGTCTGGCTCACTCCGCCCGCCCCGCCCCCCGCCCCGCCCTGCCCATGCTCACCTGCTTGCACTTGTACAAAAGCAACAGGAGTAGCAGCAGCAGCAAGGCCATGATGGACATGCAGGCCACCAGCACCGGCGTGAAGAGGGGCTCATCAAGGGGCTGCATGTAGGCTCCTGGAAAGGGTGGGCCAGAGGACTGAGCAGCAGAAGGGGCCTTTGAGACCCCCTGCTCCCCACTGGAACAGGCCAGTTGCCTGGAACTCAGTAGGTGCCCAATAAATTCTTACTGACTGAACGAGGAGTCCTCTCAGAGGGAAGCCCGTAGACCCTCCCCCAGCCGGGGGCAGGGAGGACCACCTCTCTAGCACTGCTCGCAACCAGCTCCAAACCCTGCCCAGACTCGCAGCCTCTGTGCCCAGCGGAGCCCCTCAGGTCACGCAGCCCACCCACTGCCCGTGCAAGGACCCTCTGCAGCAGCCTGGCCTGGGGCTCAGCCGTGACTTGCACACTCCCCCAGTGTGGAGGCTTACCACCTACACCTCTGGCCAGCTCGGATGGAAAGACCTTCTAGAGGTTAGACTGAGATCTGCCTCCCCAGCATTTCCCTACCGCTTCCACGAGTGGCCTTTGGGACCACACCGCCCTCCCTGGAGTCT